TCAGCATTAGCAGCTTTAAAATCCAAATTTCTGGCCCAGTCCAGAGCTGCAGCTTCAGGCATGCCAAACAGTAGGCAGATTCAAAAGAGTTCTTCAGCTTTTGCTAGAAATTCAAACAAAGAACAAATTGACAAGAACTAGAGAAGGAATCAGTTTACAAACTTGATATTTTAAAGGTAAATTAGAGTGCATGCACGTTTTTTACATGGCTATTCCAAGCTGTCTCCAGCAATGTGTACTAACAGCTTAAACCTGAGACTGTGTAATTTTGTACAACTGCAGCTGTGTGCCAGCTCTTTAAATGATTCATCTAAACAGCCATAGTTAAAATGCCCCAATTTTCTAAATCAGTTGGGAAAGATATTTCATAGCAATACGGAATTAATACTGTCCAACTTATTAGAATTAGTCATGACTATAATTAAGAGCATACACAGGAGTAGCCATGGGAAAAACAGACCCCTGAAAAGTACTTTTGGAGGTAAAATTACATATTGATCCCTAGTGATAATGGGATAATGCTTCAAGCTTGCAGGCAAAACGACAGGTTTTTTTGAACCATGAAAAATGAACACACCAGAAGTTAAGTGAGAAACTTAATAAGTTACAGGTGAAGCAGAATATTTTTCTAGGTGGTAGAAGGACATCTTCAAGGATATAAAATTTTTAAAAAGAATTTGCATTTACTTTGCACTAAATAAGCAGCTGTAGAAGACAAAGATTATGATATAGACAATTCTTAGTGATTGGATGCTCTGTTAGTAAGGAGGAGGGTGCTAAAACTAAAATGACTCATTAAAAATAGGTTCATTGCTGAACTGTATGAGATGCCTTAAACTTAAGCGTTGAAAATTATCTAAAAAGGAAACAAGAAGTAAAACAGAGGTGGAATACAATATCTGTCACTGGCTGTCATGGTGGAAAAAAAGGAATAAAAAAAAATCAGGCACAGTAGGAGAGAAAAAAAAAGGGTCCAGCGTATCATTAAGTCAACAATCCCCAAAGAGCAGGATTATTTTAAAGCAGGAATTCCAGTGCTGCCAGATGCATGTTTTCATAAGGACCAAGAGAGGTTGGCTGCACACATTTCAAACCCACTCAGACTTGTGGGCTTAAAAATGTGCTCTTGTAAGCAAGCCTTCTGCATTCCACAAAGAAGCAGAACACTCACATTTCCAGAAGCATTAGAGGTTGGAGCTGACCTGGTAAACCTATTTATTGTCATAGATGAGGACCAGAAGGTATGCATGGCAATCCCCAAACCTGGCATCGCTTGGCACCTCATGGTAGTGTGGAAAAGAAGTTCAGGAACAAAATATGCTAGTAAAATATTAAAAAGAGAAGGAAGAAGGGTAAGGTTGATACTGAAAACTTGTACAATAGCCTTGTCTTTGAAAAGCAGAAAGAGAGATGATCTGAAATGCACTTGCATTATTTTTTCATTGACCCATCCTTTTCCCAGGTTCCAAGTGAATACATTTGTAGGTGATGCAAAAAAGCAAGCTGCTCTGTGTCACAAAACCAAAAAATCTTTCCACTAAAAAGGGCACTCACCATTTCCTTTGCTGATAAAGACTCTCACAGACACTTCCCCAAAAGCAGTCCTTTCTAGGGTTAAATACAGCAAAAGTAAAATGAAGGATATTGACCTGTTTTCAGGCCAAATCCTCAGCTGCTGCACATTGACAGAGCCACTGATTAAATTGTTTGCAGCTCTTCTCTCACTGAATGAAGGAAACATTTGATCAGATGCAGGTGAGCCACTGGAACAACAGTTGCTAGCCCGAAACATCAATTAATAGTTTAATTAAAAATGCAGGGTACTCTATGACTGAGAGGAGGATAGATCAATACTATAAAATCTAATACCTTCAAGAATAGATTTTTTTGTTAATCCTTCAGAATCAGACATCTACTTTCACCATTATTATTATTTTTTATGAGATATTAGAAGATATTTGTGCATATCAAAATCATAGAAAAGATATTTCTGATCTTTGTGTTTCACACAGTTTACCTATAAACAGAAACACAATGTCAGCTTTTGAGCTCTGAAAAATCTCCCTTTACAGATAACAATTTTCACCCAAATATCTATGGAGAAGAGTTCCAAGAAAATATGAAGCCAGTTTTCCACCCCTTTGGTAATTCCACTGGTCTCCCTGTCCTTACTTCATTTAATTTAGAAAGGTAGAAGTAACTAATCCTAGTGTACAGTTTTAATACAGACAATGATTTAGCCAAAATGTCTTTTTCCATAATTTGTCAGCACCAATTATGAAATGCAAAAGAATAGAGCTCCATAGAGCTCACTATCCTCCATCTAAGCTCAACTATTTCAGTTTTAAATTCTACTACGTTGTCATGAATCGCTATTACTGCAATAGCAAGACCAAGGCACTTTTCTTTAACCTTCCTTTCTCACCAGCACATTGACTTCTACACAAGTACAGAAAAAATGTTGCAGAAAGCAGTTTCTGAAAGATGTTTTTCATCAGGGTTTCACTACTGACAGGCGGCTCACTGGAAGGCAACATCACAGAGATCCTTGTGTCTGCCCTCAGTGTCATTGCTGAATTTATGTCTGCTTCCCATGTTCTTCCAGGCATCTGCATTTAGATTATGTGTGAAATCCTAGCACTCTTAATCAATGGCAAAATTCCCATTGACTTCAACGGGGCCTGAATTTCTCCCTATTAATGTGTGAATCATAGAACGGTTTGGTTGGAAGGGACCTTAAAGATCATCTAATTCCAATCCACCCTGCCAATCCCCTAAATTCATTCCAGGAACACAATTGTTCTCTGCTAATTAACAACTACATGACATTTGTGAACATCTCTGGAATAAGGCTCCTGTAGCCTTTTGTCCCTATATCTGTTCTTAATACATTGGTTAAATTGTACAGCATTTTAACCTCCAATGCTTTCAGCTCAGGTAACACAAGCATTTCTAGTGGATAGCCTATGGGACTACTCATGGTTACAAGTTAAATGCAAGGTTAAGTGATGAAATGTCAGGTTCATGCTGTCTATATAGCTTTTTCATTGGAGTGTATTTGATAGCTTTCTGCTGAATCAATCGAGAATACTGTTGCCATGAATAACTTCTGCTATAAAATTGATAGAAATCAATAAAAATAATGAGAGAAGCAATCTTTGTGTGATAATTTGTCATTCAACTGCTACAAGAAGTCAAAAAAAAAAAAAAGTGAATAGGCCTGAACAGGCACTTGAAAAGTAAACCAGCCTGAAGGCAGGTACAAGGGACAGGGAGGGAGCATAAACACAGGAAACCACTTGGACAGGGACCATATCAAAAGACCCCCTAAAAGGTTTCAATGATCACATGTCCAAGTCAAGATTACAGATGGTGTCACAGGCTGGGAAGGGCCCAGTTCCTTTGTGTAAAAAAATCCATGATCAGGAAGATTCACATTTCTTTCACAGGGCTTTTGAGAGATATGTCTCTGATGCAGCTTATGTGAACCACCTAGCCAAGAAGCATTAGTTCTCTCTACACTATTTGGAAGAGTGAGATGTCATCATTTGTGACTTCTGCTCATGCCTCTCTGTGGCTATGATAAAGTTCATGTTTAAAATCACAAAGTAAAGGCTAAAACAGTTATAGGTGTGACATTCTTCCTCTACTCTGTGTTAGTCTATATAGATTATAAGTTCTTTCAAGGAAACACTGTTTATTTTTAACAATCTGTCCAGAGCCTATAAAACCATAGCTCTAAGAACTTTGATGCTTCAGCTCCTACTAACCAGGTGAATGTTGCAAGTATGATTTAAGCAAAAAATCTGAGTATATGTGCTAAAAAAGTAGAAAGGTTGTTTATTCTGCATTTTCTCTACTTGTGTACACAGGTTTCTAGGGGGGTTTTAAAGCTTAGTAACATCTGTAGCTGAAAGACTTGAATCCATCCATACAGATTTGCAGACATTTGTCCAAAATGCTTAGAGGCATTGGACTCTTTCTGAGTTTAACGTGGTGCTGGGGTGTATTCATACAGCAGGACAATCTGAACGACCAACATTGTAATTACATTATTTATAATGTAGTTCACAGAAATAGAGATCATTTGTTAAGCCTTCTTTTTCTGTATATGACCAGGCCAAGATATGTCAAGAAAAAACAGTAGGGGGTTAAAACATTTGTGGATGTTATGCAAGGAGTATTTGTTCAGAAATATTTCAAGACTGTCTCAAACTCTACCCTCAGGATAAAAAAAAAATGTTTAAAAACTGAGTTATTTATACTTAAGAAAAACAGAATAGATATGTCTTCACTGCTCTTTCTTTACTGGTAGGCTTGGAAAGACAATGAGGCAAGAAATTCCACATTAACCTCAACTGCACCTGTCTGTTCCAACTGCAAAAGCTTTGTTAATGTCGGTATAAGACTAATATATAGGGTCAGATTATGACATTCTTGTGAGCAATACCAGTGAAATACCAGGACATTATGCAGAGCATGGACCAAGATGCTGTGTAAGAGAAAATGTATCTCACTTTTCAAAACACTGGGAATGAAGGGTTTGTGGAGGACAGTCCTTTAACTTCTCAGTGCTAATGTGCCAATCCAGTGAAGACTGAGTACACACTAAACTTCAGGGAATATTCATGTGCTGAAAATTCAACAGCTGCATAGCATTTTCCTGCATCAGGAGCTCTGCCAGTTTTTATACACTTTGTAGTTCATAGACTACTCTCAGGTTGCAGTTCTAAACTTTCCCAGATCTGCTGATGATCACTAAGACATGCAAGGAGATGATAGCCAAACACTCCTTCTTAACTTCATTTACTTTAGTCACTTCACCTTTTCATAAATGGAGAGGTCATATGCTGCTCTAGAATGTGTCTGTGTCATGGTGGCTATTACTTCACAGTCCTCTAAGGAGCAAATGGAGTGTTCGCTTGAGGTTCTTGACAATTCCTACTCTTTTCACAGTCATGACTACTAGTGCCCCATTTCCTTTCATTTTCTGTATCCTTCTACAGTAATTTGAGAAGAGTGCTGATCCAAGAACAGGAAACTCAGAGAAAAATTTTGGACTCTGGGCCTCGCTGTACAGCTAACACAGCAACACAGTACCTGCTTCCAAGTGCTGTTCCTGTGAACACACCTGTAAGTGCTGTCAGTGTCAGGTTTTCCACCTTCCTTTAACAGTCTACAAAATGTATTCTATAACATACATCAGGTTAATACAGAAATATTAGGAGGATTACTTAATTTGTAAGACCACTGAGGACCTCAGAGAATAGGCACTAGTTGAGCCCAAAGTATTTGCAGGAATCTCTGTGGATTCCTTTGCTGCTAAAACCTCAGATCAGACAGAGATAATCTTACTTGGATTTCAGCATCCAGCCATTAGAGGTAAGTGGTAATAACACTGTTCTGACTGAGCTTTTGTCTTGTAGAAAGGATATTTAACAGCACACAGTGTATCAAGCCTCATATTAATAAATGATGAAATTAATTTCAATCAGAATTATTGCCACAAGCACTAAGAAGTGTAATTAATATTTTCTGGTGTGCCGTGTCTCATAATAGTTTTTATTCTACATGAAGCATCAAGAGGAGTTGTATCATTTTAAGCAGAATGCTACATCACAAATTTCTTGTGCTAAGCTTTAGTTTAAGGATTTTCCACCATAAGAAAATCAGGTATAAACCACTTATTATAGTGCTTTAAAATATGCTAACTTGAATGGTGGTATTTATCTCAGTGAAAAGTTTTATGTTGCTGAGAGTCAGATTTCTGAAACTGCTAAAAGAGCAGGTAGACACATTTCTTCACTTGCAACAGCACTGCCACTGGCTGCCAAGTCATGCCCACCTCTGCATTACTGTAAAGCTGCAGAATGGAGTTAAATTCTCTGTCATCACGTCCATGCACACACACAGATTCTCAGATTTCCTATGTAAAACTATTCCTCTGGATACAGTGATGGAAAATACAGAGGTTTTGCTATACAAGCTGTAACATTAATGTCTGAGGAAGTTGGTGCCAATTGAAATCAATGAAAACTGGATTTACTGTTGAGGATTTTTCCAGTGGGAAGAGCTTGAGCTGCCTGTGTGGGATTTTCTGGGTTTGGTATGACACTAGGTGGCAGTAGTTGTTTTAGAAGCCTTTTTCCTTTCTTTCTTTTTTAATTTTGATCCATAAATAGAAGTGAAAATGCACACACAATAAAATCAGTGCTGATTCCACTGCCAGTTGACGAGGTTGGGAAATTTAGAGAGCCTCAATACCAGATAGCAGTGTATAACTTGAGAACCAAGACCAAAAATGTGTCCAAATAGTGATGGCCAGTCCCAAGATCTCGTTAAGAAACCTAAGAAGTCATACAGTCTGTCATGGGAAGATTTCTTCTAAGGCCTTCTCAGAACTAAACCTATAATTTCTTTCCCTTCTAGGGCTAGTCACCACATTATCAACAGAAAATGCTCTTTCCTCACATGTTCACCTATTTTTTTCTTTCCTCCTTTGGAGATAACTTATCTTAGGACAAGAAGTATGCACATTAATAATGAATTGAAAGATCCACTTTCTACATTGCATGCAATCAGGTATTTTTTAATTAACTATCAGAAAAGGAATATGATATATTACCAACACATCATTTATCTAACAAGTAATAAAACAACAATTTAACTTTTTTGGAATTCCAGTTCATCACAATTTTTAAATATTAAAGTGGGTTCAAACATCACTATTTCATCATAATGCTGTTTAGAATAATTTTAAATTTCTACACTTTCAGTATGCAAAACAAAGAATTAAAAACATGCAGATCAAATCTAAAAACTCAGGAGTGTTCTAAAAACTATAACATATTTCAGTTTCTTCTGAGCCTGATATTTCCTGAACCTATAAAAGTATATATAATCAAGTTTGTTCACTATATCCATCTTCATAAAGCGAGGTGTTTACTTTTTTATGAAAACTGAGCTTTTCACCTAATCATTGGGACAAGGAACTGAAGCTTTAAAAAAAGTTTTGTGAGGTTTTCATTTAACTTGCAAGAGCTGGCAATACTGTATTTCAGGAACTGCTGGAATGGTGCTTCCTGAGACCATATATATCAGCTGTTCAGTGGGAAATATCAATCCTCTATATAACCCTTTTGGGCAGCAAGGGAAGCAAGAAATGGCTGGGTCAATGAGGGGGTTTTAACAGTACCATTTTCCATGTTGTAATCTAGTCAAAAAGTCCCTACTTGTAGAAAAAGACCTGACATTTTTCATAAGTCATCATTGGGAATTTGGGTTTTTTCATCATATTCAAAAGCTGTCACTGGCTGAGCTCCTCCTTGAGCCATGGTGGGATGTTGACTATGAGCAAGAACTAGTCTAGAACCAGGTTCTCTCTTAAAGACTCTTTGAGCACTAACTCTAGATAATGAAAGCAGTTGCACTCATGGCACAAAATGTTCTGGCTAAATCTCTCCACAAGATTTCACTTGTGCTAAGGAAAGTGAACAGTCAGGACAGCACTGAAGATCATAGCACCCTGGTAGAGAACAAGAGCACTACTGGATTTCTAGTAAATGTGGAATTTCTGGCCAGAGTTCATAGAACCTTTTCATTTCTCTAATCCCGATGTTATTTGCCACCAGACCTGATATTTGAACTCATCTATCCTAATCTAGTTCTCACATTCTTCTCTTCTCAAAGAAAAAAGAAAATAGCACATCGATTTTTTTTGTCTTCAGACTGACAATGACACTGTGCAGACTAATAGTGATACAGTTATGAACTCCAGCTGTCTTTGGTAAGGAAAAGCCATTAACATTGACTTTCCCTTTATCCTTTCCTTTTATATCTACTTGCTTGTTAGCTGAACTTTCTTTGTACCTCTTGAAACCCACTGTAATAATTCATACAGATTGCAAAAGACATGCTAGAAGAAAAGGCTGCAAAGCCACTTATTTGTAGTTATCTCAGTTGTTGATCTTAGCCAATAAACTGCTGACTGATCACTGCAAATGTTTCTGCTTATAGCAGATATGCAATGGGCTGATACTCAATTCGCTTTAGCTTCTGTTGCTGCTGGTCTATCAGCATGACAGCCAAGATGCTGTGCTGTGCCCCAGCTCAGGCACAGCACAAGTGATGCACCACGTCTCAGAGGTGGAGTGGTGCCTGTGCTGCTCTGAAGCGGGACAGGCTGGGCCATCCAGCACATGCCATTGGTGTCACCTCAGAAGTACACAGTGATCTGCACATCCAGCTGTTTCAGATGCAGGTGGCAGAGGGAAACACACAGCTGCACTCCTGGGCTTGTCCATCAAAACTAGCATATTTTAAAGGAGTTTGGGAAAGTAACATGCGGGAAGGAAATGGGTATCTTAGGTTCTACTCTGATCTCTATTGACAGCTCTGTACTCTCTGTGGCTTTCCCCTCTCTCAGTTTTACCTTTATAGTGTTCACTGCGATGTCCCTTCTCTGTCAGGATGACGCTGTCTGTGCTCCAGGGGTTCAACTGTCAGCCACAGAACAGAGCTCTTCCTGGCACTTTGCAAACAACCCATGGTGCATCACTGTTTTGGGATGTCCTCTGTATTTATCTGCAGAATTCCAACACACAACAACTAAAAAAAGCTGAATGAATGGAATCTGGATGTTTAAAACACTCCATCTGGGCTTCTACCTCATCTCTAGACAGACACTTCTAGCTACGCACAGGCACTTTTATCTTGGAAACTCAAGTGGAAATTTTATCCTTCATATGCCCTCAGCTTTGAGCCAATTACCCCAATGCAAAACTAAACCACTCTGTGTAAAGATACCCCCTCCACAGCCCTCACACACTGTGAAGGAGACAACTAAACATAACACACAGTTTGGTGCACACTTGCACTGATCAATACTGTCATTGCTTCTCTTTATTCCCTGCCTCTCCCCATCCATCTGCTTTTTCTTGTCTTAGCAATGGCAGATTTTGGAAAATGGAGTGGCTTTTTGGTTTTTTTCTTTGAATGAGATTTGGGCGGTACCAACCCACAGTTAGAGCTCCTACACTCTACAGTTCTCCAGGTGATAAACACTAGCCCAGAGAAGCACAGAGAGGGACACACACTGAACACCTGCTTATTAGCACAGGGCCCATGTAAGGCCCGTGCAGCACTGCAGCTTCAATGTACAAGATAAAGGTGCAAATGTTGCAGGGCCAGAGCAAAGGAATAAATTTCAGACACATGGAGAATGCCTAATATAAATAAAATAAACTGTAGAAATCAAATATTTAGCTTTTGAAATGCTAGCTGTTCCAGATGTAAAAATCTAAACAATTATCCCTGAGATAAGCATCACAAAGTATATTTATATTTCCCCCTGGGTTTTATTTTGTGTTCATTAATATATACAACATTTTCCTTTTTAAAAATACTTTATGAGCCACATGCTCTCTCTATGTACTTTTATGGAATTGCTATTGGAATTGGATGAAGCTGCATTTGCATTCAAGGGAGAACTCAACTTACTGTAATCATGCCTAATTTGTTGGAGCACTGAGTATTTAAATCAGGTTATTATAATGTTTACAGCTCCCACAACCCCCAAATTGCATGATAATTGTCATGTCACGCAATTTATAGCTATGCAGACTCTGCACTAAGACTGACAGGACCATTGTGTATATTATTAGTCAAACACTTGTGAATCTGAAGAAATTACGAGGAATCCAAAAGAAATGCGAGGAGCAGAGTCTTACTACCATGGACGCAATGCAGTTTAAAGTAAACTCACTCCATTTCACTGCTGAAAATGTGCAGTCTTTCTGCCCTTTGGGATCCTAGAAGAACGTTTCAGCTGATATATTCAGTGGTTCAGGTGGTAAGCAACCTTCAAGTAAACAAAGACTGGCCAAAATGTAAACTCTCTGCAAGTACATATTCTTCTTCTGTTAGGTAAATTTACTTCTTCAGGTTTATTCCTGGTATCAGACAGAAATATAAGGACTGGATTGTGAAGTATTCAGAAAGAAAAGAACTACTAAGTACCTAGACAACAACATGAGTGCTGCTTGACTTTCAGCTCTGCAGCAGCTCTATGTGGAATTCAGCAGCTGAATTACAAACTTGTAAGCAAATCTATGACACTGAAGGAAACACACCCTGCTCATTTTACAGCGCTTAGCAAAGTGTGGAAATGCTTCATGAGTAAGTTTGTAGATGTCACTATAAAATCACTAAGAATAGTAATTTCTCATTAAGAGGGGGGAGGGAAAAGAAATGAAAAGACAATTAGGTTTTCTGTCCCCAAAGTATAATTCTCACTGGCAGAAAATGCACACAGCTGCTCAAAACTCAGTGGTGCTGCCAGTATTAAAATTCTCTTCTAGAAAGCTGGGAGAAATGTGGTCCCTGTTTTCCATTTCTCAGATGCAGATCCCACTCTGTGGGGCAGTAGCTGCTGCTCACTTCCCGAGATGTGTGGCCGGTGGCAACTCCATGTTCTCCTCTTTTAACCCAGTAATGCCAAATTAGTGGGGAAGAAAAATGAAGGCACTGTAATGATCAAAGAGGAAATTTTGCAAAAAGGCACGTGTGGTTGGTTGCTAATGAAACACAATGCCATTGGTTCTTTTAAAACAGGAAGCAGATTCTCCTGTTACTTTATGGAAAGGCTGACCAAAATTTGCACCGCCTTTGAGAATGGTTGTTCTGGAACATCCTCTTTGGGAGATCTCCGGCAGACAGTTAGCAGTGAGATGGAGCAGTGGCAGAAGGGACTTGTGAGTGGCTTGTGGCTTACTCCCTGTGGCTTGTAAGTAAATTGATTAGGACTAAACCTCTGGATAGGCAGGCTCTGTACTGGCTGCATGAGGTTGTGGCAGCCATGTGGGCTAATGAGCTGAAAAACAGGTGGTCAGCAGCAACTGCCAAATCAGCATCTTGACCTCATCAATAGCCAATAAAAAATAGAACAGAAACAAGATACAGATGGCGAATAACTAAATAAAAAGACATTAAGCTGCCAAGAGGAGCTCTTCTGGGGAGTAAACTGGCCATGATACCACCAATTCTGACTAAGAAAAAGAGATGAAATTGTTCGTATAATGTATGCAGTGTATGACTATGATTCATATGTTCTAACATTAGAAAGAGAAAGAATTTGAAGTTTTTAGATGGTTAATGGTTATTAATAAGGCAAGTAATATTTATAAAGATGTAAAGATATCCTCATTCAAGAACACACAGTCAGAGAAATAGAAAAAGAAATAGATTCTAGAGACCAGGTTCCAGTAGAAGCTGATTCTAAAACAAAATGGAGAGTTGGAAAATGGTAAATTAAAAATCAGAGTATTAGATTACTTTAAAAATAAAGAATGCAAGTCAAACAAATGTACATTTTTTTTAGAATTGAAAAAATTCAAGATCAAATACACCTGCCAAAGCCTCAAGATTCAAATCGACCTATGGGATGGAAGGAGCAGACAAGCATGGCCATTGGAATGTGTTACAGGAAAAATGCGTAAGATAAATGAAACACAACAGTCAAATCATCCAACTCTCTTGTGAGTCATGATAGATAATCAGCAGGAACGTGGTGGATGGTGATAGCCAGTGAGCCCTGCAGCTTCAAAAGACAAGGACAAAATATTAAGTTAATAACAGCTATTTACAAAAGAGCAGAGACTGATTGTCCAGTTGCCACATAGGAAATTGTTAGATGAACATATTACTATGACAAGAAAAGAAAGATGGGAGCTAATGAAGGAGTAGGTGACAATAATAGAGTTATGCTAGCATTGCTTTGCTAAAATGTCTTTGTAAAACAGAATTAAGCATTACATGCTACATTTTTTAATACAGCAATCCAGAGGGAAAAGGAGTGGAGTGCTGAAGGATTTTATGCATCCACAATGCCCTAGGGTAGCTACATCAAACAGAACATGGAAGCAGCGTCCAACAGGATTCCCAGGTGCTAAGGCAGAAATACCAGATCTGGGGAAGTATCCATATGTGTAAACTATTATCACTACGACACACAAGATAACAAGTCTTGAGAATTCCCTCATGCATAAAAAAATGGTGCTGAAGACCTGTCTGGCTTGTCAGCCTTACCAGGACATTCCTTCCTTTGAAAATCTCTGAAGTAATAACATTTATTAAATTTTTTTTGTAAACATCAATTTTCTTGCTGTTCCGTGCTTGTTTGGTTGGTTTACCATTCAGCACAAACAAAGCAAGTTTGGTAACTAAGTTGGAGGGCATTGTTAAATCTCAATGGTAAATGAGAACAAGTCTCAAGAGGAACAAGCAAAGCCCCTCCAGGCTCAGGAAGTGTGGTAGGACACCCTGACACCCTGCACTCCAGGGTTTGCCCAGGGCTCCTCTCCTGCCTTGCAGCTGAGCTGAGACTGGCAGAGTCCCTGCGGGAAATGCCAGACTCAAGCAACCCCCACCCCCATCTCTCTGTATTTCTGTGTCAGAGAACAGTGCAGTCTCCCTTAAATCCCACAGTCTGGGCTCCCTGCACTCCCTCTGGCCTGGTGTTGTAGGGGCAGGGCCCTTCCAGCAATGAGCACCCACACCTGGGTGGTTGTGTGAGCTGCTGTACTCCACCACAGCTCTGCCTGCAGGTCTCCCTTGGCATTTTTGTGATAATGTGACAAATCTGCAACACTCCTAAGCCAAGCTTTGCCATTGTGTGTGGCCATTTGTGCATGGGGCTGTGCCACAGCTGTCAGGTCAGCTTGAGAGCATCGCTGCTGGCCTGGGTGAGGGTAAGGGTGGTGGCCATGCAGGCAGACTTGATGATTTATAGGCAATCAAAGCACACAAACACTTCCCTACAGCATGTGATTTCTGGTTCCATGATGTCTCTATGTTGCCAGGCCCAAAAGTTGTCTGATTTTCTTTTAAAAAATGGCAACTACTTATTAAAGGTAATTATTAAACTTTAAGTTTCAGCAAATCTTTAAAATACAATATGTTGTAGAAACTCGTATAAACTGCACCTGTAAGTGACATCTTTGCAATAGTCTTGTACATAGGAGGCTCAAAGCTATTTCTTGCCAGCAGCAGTGATCCACAGACTTTAGATGTTGTTAAAAAGCTTACAATATCAGCAGGGCAACTGCTGCCTCCATTAGAAACATGATACTAAGATGCTGATTAATACCAGGAGGGGGCTTTAATCAGCCAAAGCCATATGCTATTTCACTTAAGATGAAAGTGCAAATGATAATCATTATTTCAGAAAGGATGTATTTAAAAGAAGAGCAGAACAGCAAGTGGCATCTTTTTATCATTACAGCTTCTTCATGCAGTCCCTTTTTTTCTAAAGCTTTATAGGCTTTTATGAACATCTGGATCATTTCTTCATTATATAGGCTTCCAATATCATTATGTTTGATGTAGTGTTTTTAGTGGAGCTATGCTAAATGTCTAAATATACAATTAATTCCTATTAATTATAGTTTTCAAACTGATGAAATTATCCATCATTAACTTAATCACTTGTATTTTATCTTAAAATTGTATTCACTCTTTTATAATCCCTACATCTAAAGCCATTTCTTCCCTGGGCTTTGTGTGATGTTTTGCATGCTGTTTGTATAAAGGTTTGCCAGCCATTTTCAACTGCTTGTAGAACTGAAGCTGTCAGCAGCAGGCCATTTTAAAATAGAACCTAATTCAGCTCAGTTGTTTTACCAAGAAGCGCTTCAGAGAGAAGGGAAAAAAAAGAGGTGAATTTGGATCTGTAAAGGGCAAGACTTCATTAGACCTGATGAAACTTTAGTTCTGTATTCCTTACACCAAGGCAAGGGGGTTGAGCGAGGCTTATCAAGAGGAGAGTAAGGGAAGAGAGTTATTCACTGGCTTCCACTCCATGTGGCAGTAATTCAGCATGAATAGAAACAAATGATTTAGAAGTCTGCATTGACTGTACTTGAAGAATTAGGAGCATCTTTAATATCAAGTTACAACACATCTAAAGAAAAAAACATCTCTAAAGCTTTTTCTGAACACTCTAGCCTTCTTTTAGGTTTCTTCTGTGACTTAAACTGGAACACATATTATGACATCTTAATCAAATGCCTTCCCTAGTTTCCAAGCCTAAAGTTAGGTAGATACTCCCTTTTCTTTCATATGGCATTTGCAGAATTAAAAGAGAAAGAATGAGGGGGTTAAAAGCACTAGAACAAATCTGCTTAGCTCTCATCAGTCTGCTTTCAGGAACTGGGAGTCAGAAAGAGTGCAGGGAGCCAGAACTGCTGTTAGCACTGAAGAGACATAAGTATCAGCTTTGTGGGGTGGGGGGTGTCCAGGACTCTCTCCATCTACAACTGTTGGCCCTCCACAGAACAACAGAGCACAGTAAACAAGAGTTACACAGACTCCAACACAGCACAGCGTCTATGCAGCATTGCAGTCCATCCTGCCAACCCAAACTCCCTCAACAGCACCTTTTTGGTAAGAGCTGAGGCCCACAGAAAGCTGCCCACGGTTTGCAGTCTTACCCCATCACAGCCCAGGACGTACCTCAGGTGCCTGGTTTGGATACACTTTAAGGAACGAAGCTACTGGAAAAGACATTTCTCTTTAGAGGTTCATCATCCTGAGCAGGTATTTTCTAATTCCATCTATTATAGATTTTTTTTCTGCTGGACCTGCAGGAGTTTAAATGACATTCATGTCCATAGCAGGTATTAAATACATCAAGAGCACGAAGACCTCTCATTCTCAAAAACAAAGCTGTGTTCTTGTCTTTGTTTTCACTGGCATTTTGTGGTAGCAAATACTTTCTTTAATTCAATTGTCTCCAATCTCAGAAACTTCTTGTCACAGCTGTGATGTCCCATTCTTCTGTTCAGGTAATTTATTGTATTCTTCTCTTTATTTATGATATGGTGTGATATCAAATGATTATTTGGGGCTCAAGGTTCCATCCAGCTGCCTTGGTGTCACAGACCCACGTGCTCCTGCTCTGCTTGTCTTCTAGGCTCCCATTTTGGGAGGCCAACATCCTTAAAAATATAGTTCCCAGTGCCTCAGATTACAAGGAAGCAGACTCCACATTGCTCCCCCTTTCTTCCATAACATGTTGGAAAATTCTTACTTCTGTCAAAAAACCCCCCAACTTGATTGACACTGAAAATTCTCATTCTGAGATGGAGTAGGAGCTAAAGTTTGTTTTATTTCTTCTGTAGTGAGACGAGGTTGTTGTTAGTTTTGAAAACTTGTGGCAGCATGTGAGACCCAGCAGCAAAGTTGTGCCGGCTGGGGATGGAATCCTTCGGTCTGTTTTAATCACTACTCTATTTCCTTTCAGCTCCTGCCCCTCCTTTGGCTTCGCTCTCACTTTTACTCCCCTCCTCTAAATGGAAATTTTAAAGTATAAGACTCAGGCATCCGACCCATGGCTCACCTCCAGGTGTGCCACAATATGTCTGCTCATCATAGGGGCTGCCTTTGCTCCGGAGGGCAAAGCTTTTACCTTTGATCACTCCAGATGTATTTTCTCCTCATAATAAACTGAAAATTACAATCATCCCTTTTGGGTCTCTGACAGCTTATTTGCCCATTATTTCTTCAGTAAGGCATTCAGTGAATATAGTGGTACACAGTCTAACACAGTTTTAAACCAAAATTCAGAAACAGTAAAAATGGACTGTCTCTCCACAAGTAAATTAGCTGCAAAGTGCTCCAAGATCAAGACAGCAACATCCAGATCCAGCAGGCCTGGAATTTAGCATTTACTTCAGAAGTTCCTAAGCTAGGCTAACGAGGATGGCCCAAAGTTGACTCTGTAGTTCTGTATAATGTAGATACCACTTTGCAAATCCCTCCTGACTAAACACAGAGAACAGAATAGTCCAATTGCTTCTAGGTAATGTGGAAGACATTCATGTGGTCACTTTACAAACTTATTCTGGAAAAAACACTGTGACTGATTCAAGAACATAAGAAATATTGGACTAGGCCAGTGGTGCACCTAGACTAGCATTCTGTCTCCAGCAGTGGAGAAGTGACCTTTAACCCAGACTTTTATTTCCTGTCTCTTAGCCAGTTTTCAATAAAATAACCTATCCATCAATGGTTTTGAAAGGCAATGTCTTCAATAACCTTCTGTGTGTTACCTTCAAGAAGTTTTGTTGAAAATCAAAGTATTGGTGTGCACATGCTTATAGATACCTCATTGAACTGCAGCAGGTTAGGGGCAGGATTTCCCTTTCCAGAAGCTTTTTCCCACTGCACCACATTTCTCTATGGACTCACTGAACCTTTCTGTATGACAAACTCCATCCTCCTGTGCTGTTTATCCCAGGATCCCCTCTAAAGATCATTCTGTATTTCACTTACACCCCATTTGAGTAATTTTAGACAAAAGCACTCAGGAAATTGCTCATGTTCTTCAGGCATGATACGCTCCACAAACACCACAGCTGAGGTCTGAATAGTCTCTGAATTAGCACAACCTGCAGCATCCAATGGGCTCAGTCCACTTAGTCATGCAAAGGGTGACAAAAAAACTTGCAGCTGCACCTAGAGGTATGATATAAACCCAAAGCCTTGCACCTTTGCTGCCGCCCCAAATCAGTCCCCTTTGAAAACTTTTTTTTCCATTTTTTGCCATGACAACATTCTTCAGAACTGACACACAGAGCCCTTAAAAGATT